GTTGTTTTAACTGCAACACAATATATTTGCCAACGAGGTCATGTGAGATAGAAGGGGCAGATGACACGGGGAACTTTTTAGAAGTATTCGAGTTAATTGCAAACCATGACCCAGTGGTACAGAAAAACAATGATGAGAAGCCACAATGCAAAGTATACAAACTCTGTAATACAGATTGATATCCTCAAAGGAACTGGAAGAGGAGCAAGATGTCTGTGAAGACTCTCAGTCATCCAGGTCATAGTCATCCAACGAAGGTTAAAAACAAGGGCAGAACTGAAGAAGTCCTTTGGATGAGGGACAAAACGTGTTCCAGTATCTTCAACCAAATCCGGTTTCCCTTGATTTTAACCTTTGCTGGGTGAAGAGGAGATGTAGCTTACTGTGCTACTTTATTTAGCCAGCATTACATACCCCGTGAAACAGCCAATCAAGACTCCTCGGTGGATTCTTCCACTTCCCCTGAACTAGCAGATATAATCCCGAAATTAGTCCACAGCTTGGTATGAACATTAGTTAAAGACTTTACTTCGTCTGCAAAGCTAACACAGTTCTCCCAACTCTTTTTTTCCTCGTCTCTGTCCATTCCTCTGCTCACACACTGAACCCCGCCCCTGCCGCACCTGCTCACCACCTGATCAAGCACTCCGCACCTGCTCACCACCTGATCAAGCACACCGCCGCACCTGCTCACCACCTGATCAAGCACACCGCCGCACCTGCTCACCACCTGATCAAGCACACCGCCGCACCTGCTCACCACCTGATCAAGCACACCGCCGCACCTGCTCACCACCTGATCAAGCGCTCCGCACCTGCTGACTGGCATCAACCAATGAAAACCTTAGACGCCAGCACAATTACCACAGATAGACAAGTTGAATATACAACCCATTAACTCGTCATAACATGTTTTTTTAACTAAGCATTATCTTTTAGTTATTTATCAAATAACATGTGCAACATACAACAGTTTTAACAAAAATACAACCATATGTTTACCATCAATATGCCATGACTTTTAATATCAAATTTACTTATAATGAACTCAGTATACTATTTATTCTGGGTTACATAAATAAAACTGAAATATTAAAAACTTGAATGTATTGTCACACAGTGTCTGCATTGACCTCCACTCAAGTTTCCTAATCAGAGTACACACCTGTTGGTTGATATGTCCTCACTGCCTCTTTCACTTTGTGCCTGTCCCTAGATTAATGTCCAAGACAGCCCTAAATACCAAAAAGCCAAAAGAAAAGCTTTTAGTTTCATTCAAGTGGGATGAAAAAGGTATCCCACTCACCACAGCTTCAGTGGGTCACTGCCCAAAGCAAAACTAGCTCAGTTTAGACAAGGTGATTTTACTGTGATTCAGCAACCATTTAAATAATACAAATGTAAACTATAGAACCACTCTTTATAACTTATTATAATTTATTAAAATTTTCATGGCACAGTATTGAAATATAGTTACCCTCAAATCCATTAGTATTTTCTTCACTGAATAGGTCTGAGGTTTTCCCACACCAAGCTCTTGCAATCCATCAAGCAGTGACGTCAAGGTTTCACCAGAGAGACATGGTAAGAATGACACCACTTCTTTTATCATTTCTTAATCCATTTTCTGAAAACACAGACATACAAACAATCCCATTTGTTAATTTACTATGGTTTTATACACTGCGTGTTTGTCACTGCAACCGGCTGCACTGTAGCCCAAAACTCATCCTTTCCGGAACAAACTAGTTTCCAAGCTTACTGCAGTTTTCAGCCACACTGTCCATGTCCATTACAAACCAAATATGTTTATACACACACATAAATCTGGTAAAAACATCCAGTATCTTTCCTTCATACTGTATTTTTACATGTTAATTTTCAGTTTTTGAATCAGCTGACAGTTTCAGGCTGCCATTGAGGTACAGCAGGTACAGCAAAGGCAGAAGATTGTTAAATTATATGGATTGATTAAATTACATCTACAAGTTATCCATCATTTCCACAAATGACCCTCGCTACATGTAATTCAGCTATAGAATTGTGTTCCATGAAACAAGTCTGTTCAGGCAGGGGTCACACCCAAAACTGAGATCACTTTCCCTAACCTGAAGTTAACCTTTAAACCAAGAAAGCTTTAAAATTGTCTTAACACGATTGGGTTGGTGTGCATTTAGGATAAGAACATGAAACCCACATGAACACACACAAAGTGTTGAGTCCCTCTAAAGTTTCTTTCTCTCCAGTCCACAGGGAGAAAACGGACTTTGACAGTAACATAATAAAATGTTGGATTAACACTCACCCTGCCTCAGTCTTCAGTTCTGGGACTCTAACTGGAGTCTGAAAGGACTGAACTATTTCAGCTACAGGTTCCTACCTGTTCTCATTGTTTCTCCTCCCCTCTACGTTTATGAGTGTGTGTGTGTGTGTGTGTGTGTGTGTGTGTGTGTGTGTGTGTGTGTGTGTGTGTGTGTGTGTGTGTGTGTGTTTAACAGGATTTGTTCGTTTTTATATGCATCTGTCACTTGGTTTGAACAGGTAAATTAAAAGTTTTGGTCAAAACGTTGGAACTCGAAAAGTTGGAAGTTTAAATGATGTAAACAATGTGTTTTGTTTAATTTAAGACATTAGAGCTTTAAACTAAATGAAACTGAACTTAAGGTGACCTATTTCAGACTTGTAGGGAACACAAACACTCCTTCTTGTTCCTCTGGATCTGGAGCTTTCTGTGTGACAGGAGAAGGTGGGTTAAGTGAACAAGCTTTCAGCTCAGCTCAGGAGCCCCTGTCCCCCTGACTCTTCTTCTGTTTTACAAAAGGACCAAGGACACGTCATTTCCGGCACCCTGGTTTGGAAATACAGTCATTAAAACAGTTTTTTAACATTGAGAATCACCTCAACCACAAGTGGCCCTTGAGCAAACAGTGTTCCAGCCACAGACCTATCTGGATGTGTTTATAGCCTTTTGTACTATGTATTGCCCTTTAGCGTGTTGGGTAATTTTATGGACAGAGTTGGTTTTCTGGTGAAATGGATCTAGTGCTGTACTGTGGGGTGCAGTAAATTGTGAGTCAGGGTTTTTTGCAGTTGTGTTGAGGCTGCTTGATTTTTGTGCTGTAGTCTCATTTTGGTGGTTCTCTTTATGATGGAGTTTAAACTGGTGGAGTTTATTGAGTGTCCTACTCTAGAGGGGTTTAATCGGTGTACTAAGGAAAGTCTGCTGTTGATTGCTGATCACTATGAGCTAGCTGTTCTAGACAAATGAAGAAGCAGGCTGTTAAGGCAGAGTTACTTGCTGCATTGGTGGAAAAGGGCATTTTGCCACAGCTTCAGAGTGTTCCAGAAACTCCCGAGCAGTCATGTCAAACTTCTGGTGAAGCAGTAAGACTTAAAGAATTGGAAGTTGAATTGCAGCGTCTGGCGTTAAAGGATAAGGAACTTAACTATTTGAGTGATCTCGAAATGAAGATGCTTGATCTCCGCATGCGTGAATTGGAGCTTGGTGTTGCTTCTCAAGTTTCGTCTAGATCTTCAAACTTTGATGTAAGCAGAAACATTCGCTTAGTTCCTCTTTAATGAAAAGGATGTTGACAATTATTTATTATTTTTAAGAATGTCTTTGTGGATCGTCCTTTTTGGAATGTTGGTAAGCCTTTGAGAACCTGATTCCTACTGGGAAGGATAGGCATAGTGAAGTCGTTGAGGGGGGCAGAAATGTTGGTCCCTTGGAGGTTGATGTTGAGGCTGAGGATGATTTGAAGGTAAAAGACATCATGTGCTTTTATTGTAAAAAAAAAAAAAAGAGGACATATTGTGGCAGGCTGTCCTGTGTTGAAAAAGGAAAGTGTGAAGCCTGTAGCTTTAGTAAACAAACTTGATAAAAATTTAAATGAACCTGTGTTGTCTAAAGACATGTCTATTGACCTGACTGTATTTACTCCATTTGTTATGGATGGTGTTGTCTCGTTGCCTGGTAACAAACTTAAAGTGCCGGTAAAGTTTTGCCATTCGGTAATGAGTCTGCTGTGGGTTCTGACGTTCCTGTGTTGGGTTTTTGTATGGAAGACATTGATGTGCCTCTGCATAGGGTCTGTGTGGAGTCTGACCTTGTGTCAGGAGAGGTGTCTGTGGGGGTGCGTCCTGGTTTCCCTACAAAAGGGATTGCCTTTTTGATGGGGAATGATTTGTTGGTGGAAAGGTGTTGGTTAAACCTGAAGTGACGCCGATTCCTGTTAGACAGGTTCCTGATGAGCTTGCTCACAAGGTTTCCCAAGGTTTTTACTGCATGTGCTGTTACTCGATCTGTGTAAACAGGATGAAGAGTGAAAGTTTTCTTTTTAATCCAGATAATGGTCACTCATTTTCTCCAGTGGGGGCTGAGAGTAACGCCACAAGGGCAGAGCTTTCCTGAGGCTGAGCGTTTATCTTATCTCGTGAACAGTTGATTGATGCGCAGTGCATCTGCTGCAGATGAATGGAGGGCTGTAACCCAAATTGTAGTTCCATGAGCATATCGAGCAGAGATTTTGACGCTGGCTCATGATAGTCCTCTTGCTGGTCACTTGGGTATTAAGAAAACGTATAATCATATTTTGCGCCATTTCTTTTGGCCTGGGTTAAAGAGGGATGTTTCACGTTATTGTAAGTCTTGTCATCTATGTCAGGTAGTTGGGAAACCAAACCAGACCGTCCCTCCTGCTCCACTATATCCGATTCCGGTGGTATGTGAGTCATTTGAACGGGTTCTGGTTGACTGTGTGGGCCCCCTGCCTCGTACAAAAACTGGTAATAAGTTTTTGTTGACTGTGATGTGTGCGTCCACTCCATTTCCAGAAGTCTTCCCTTTACGGTAGATCTCAACTCCAGCGGTTTTAAAGGCTTTGACAAAGTTTTTTTCATTGTTTGCTTTGCCGAAGGTTGTACAAACAGATCAGGGTTCAAACTTTGTCGCGGGTATTTGCTCAGGTGCTGAAGCAGTTAAATATTAAACACTGTCATTCTAGTAATACCATCCGGAGAGTCAGGGCGCACTTGAGCGTTTTCACCAGACATTAAAAAACCATGTTGTGTACTTACTGCCTGGAGTCCATCGGAGTTAGTATTTGCCCATACTGTGCGTGGGCCATTGAAGTTATTTAAAGAGAAGTGGCTGTAAGAGGGGACAGAACAAAACTTGTTGGACTATGTGAGTAACTTCAGATTTAAATTACGCAGAGCTTGTGAGATAGCTGGGGATAATCTTGAAGCAGGGCAGGATGAAGGTGTGGTTTGATAAATGTGCTCAAAATAGAGAATTTCTGCCTGGGGATACGGTTTTAGTGTTGCCGGTTCCTGGGTCTAGTTTGCAGGCTCGCTACAGTGGGCCTTATGTGGTTCAGAAGAAGGTTGGCGATAGAGACTACCTGATAGCCACTCCTGATTGCTGCCGTAGATCTCGTCTGTCATGTTAATATGCTGAAGTCTTACTGTGACGGGCAACAGATGCAGCCGGACGTGGGGTCCAGTTCTGGTGCAGGGGAGGGTGCTGTGATTATTGGGGAGGTGTCCAGTATTGACGCTGGTGCACATCCTGTGTGTTCGGTGACGGGTGTAGTCTCAGGTGAACTGACCACTTCTGATTTTGGTGATAGTTTGTTTTCTGTAGCCTTGACCCAAGGGAAGTTATCGAACTACACAATTCTGGATGACGGTGACTCATGTGTCTGTTTTTTCCCTCAGGTGTCTTAGGTTTGGGTGACGAGGGGAGAAACTGATAAGAGGGGGCTGGGCGCTTGGCGCTTGGCGCTTGGCTCTCGCTCTGGTCCACCTTCCAGCCATGGCAGCAGCAGCACCTCCGAGACTGCGACTAATTGGTATTTCCTTGATTATTGTTCTTATATTTCTGATAGGACTGGTAGTTTAGTTTTCGCGGCTTTATTTCTGTTTGTTTAGTTAGGGATTAGTTTAGGGTAGAGGGGGGCTTCCCTTTCTTTTGTTTGTTTTGGCCAGCCCATCAGATTTGTTGTTTTGTTTAAGTTAAATTTTGAACTTATTTCATGTTTATTTCAATAAACTTATGTTTGCATTACTCCTGGACTCGACCTGTTCGACCCCCTCTTATAACGAGCTTTGGTGGGGGGGGGGGGGGGTCGTAACAAACAGTCATACATGTAGACAACAATATTAGCTTATGGGTCCAGTAGTATGTGTATATAACACATTTAGTATTTCTTAGCTCACACTAAAAACTTGTTAACACATTATATATACCTTTATAAATAATTAATTAGTTTCTGTATTTCATTGAAAGTTATGAAATGTAAACAATCCAATAAAAAAAACTTCCAAATCCTTCTTTTAATTATTTTATAAACATTTACTCATCTTAATAACTGGTCCCACTTTTGCTGCAAGGAACAATGTTGATTGTTTGTAAATGCATAATGAAGGATTTATTAGCCTTTATAAGGCAGTAATATAAACCTATTATAGTCTGATTACTCTCATTAAACATCCTATTACCACCACCATATATGTGTGTATGTATGTATATATTTATATATGTACATATATATATACGTAACGGCTGAAAATGTATTTGTTAGTGACACAAACAGAGTAATATAATATTCTATAATAATATAACTCTGTGAAAGAAGGCGTTCTGCATAATGAGTACTTTTACTTTGACACTTTATGTACATTTAGCTGATAATACTAATGTTAATACAGTATTTTGTCCAGCTCTGCTGCTCCTCTACATATATGAAAGTAATGTCAGAGTGATGTATGTATTTTAGATTCTGCATGTTTCACTTAGTGTCTAATAAAGCAGCAGCATGTTATTATTGACTCCAGATTTCTATCAACATTAATATTCATGTCATTCTGTGTGGCTCTTGTATTCTGAGCCTCTGTGCTGCAGCTTTTAAATACCTGCCAGTGTAGTATAATGGAGTCCTGGATGCTGCTTTTTACTCACATTAATATTCTGCCTGCTTAGAAATGATCTCAGTCACTTTGTGCTTTGAATCTTAGGTTGTGTTTTTAGAGAGACTCTGTAACGTGTGTCCAGACTCCGGATGAAGTTTCCCAGCAGCTCTTGAATAAAGGCCCGTGAATGTAAAATGTATTTAAAACCTTTACTGTACAACACGTCACTGCAACAACATGAATGTGACAACAACATAAAGCTGACGAGTGTTTGGAGTCTCTGCAGCTTCATCTTCAGAGAAATGAAGTGAAACCAAGAAGGAAGGAGATGAATGTAAAAGCTGTGATTCCTGCTTAAAGCTGCCGTCTCATTCTTTAGCATCCTGTTAATAAACTTTTAAAATGTACAACCTTTTCAACACTAAGAACACACAAAGCGCTTTTACCAAGAAAACACTTGGAGCTGCAAACAGTTTCCACCAGTCTGCAGACCTTTTTACTACAGATCTGTGTGTGTTGAGCTGCTTTCAGAGTTTACAGCCTGTTTTTAAGGAAAGGATCTCTGGTTTCAGTGTTTCTCCGTTCACATGCAGCACGACTCTCTGAAGAAACTCCAAAGTACACTTCAGGCTTTCTGGGTACTCAGCCTGGAGGACATACTGCAAGTACAAGTACATGAGTGTATCAGGGCAGCACTCAGTCCGCTGAAAACAAAAGTCTAGTCAAAGTGAAAGATGCTTTTCTTTTGCTGAGTTCTCAAAGAAAAGTTGCTGTTAAAGATTTCTGACAGGCAGAAGTTCATCAACATGCTGCTGTCTGGTTTTACTGAGAACCAGCCGCCAGTTTATGTCACTGATTTCACCCCAAAAACATCTATTGTGTTAAATTTATCACTACAAAAGTCTTTACTGACTCAAAAGCAACAGAAGTCAAGTTGAGTCCAGAAGACAAACCCTGGTGAACATGATGCTGTCAGGACTGATGAAGGCCGGGGAACCAGAGGAAACACAAAGATAAGAAACATGAGAGAGAAATATTATTTTAAGGAAGCCCAGATTTCCATCAGACTGATTCAGTGTTCTGGTGTCTAAACAAGATGGATCTTCAACATTTCTTTAAATCTGGAATTTTCTCTATTGAAGGCTCATTTCTTGATCATTTCAACTTTATTGTTCCAAAGAAAAAAAGCCTGCAGGGACTCATGAACATGAAACACTAAATAGAATATAACTACAATAATTGCTGTGGCATTAATTTGTGCATGTGCAAAAGTTCAAAAGGACTGAGCAGCCTCTCTAATCAAAGTAAATCATTCTCTCCCTCCGATGAAGCCAATAAAAAGGAAACTAAGCTTTGCAGAGTCTCAGTTCTGCTTCAGCTCAGATTCAGAGTTTGGGAACAGTGTGGATCCAAACTACTGAAGTCCTCAATCAGAGCTGAACTGGCTTCTGTTCCTTTGTTTCGCACCATGTCAATCACCGCTCCAGCCCCGTCAGCCCTGGTTCTGGTTCTGGCTGAATCCATTTCTTCTTGATTTATTATTCCCCGTTGCAAAAGCCGATCCAGCAGCTGGTTCAGAACAGGTTCAGACACTGAATCTACGAACTGGGACCGAACTGATGCCAACCTGCTCCGTGGGGAGCCACTCTGAGGCCTCGCTGGATTCTCTTCACGCAGAGCCGGATCTAAGCAGAACAAAGAGTTCAGTAAAACAGACCTGTGACTGTGTGTTCGCACAGAAAGCAAAGCAGATTATTCAAATGAATGCAAACAAACTCAGGCTGATCCTGAAGCTCAATCAACATCCAGAGAGGAAACAGGAGAGACGCTGGAGGGACAGAAGAGAACGAGGTGGAGTTTGTCACTTTGTGATGAGAAGGGGTGGGGACATAAGGGCTCAGATTAGGGGTGTGATGATGCACGAGGACCAGAGGAGAAGATATTTAACACTTTTCAGGAATTATGTCTAATTATTTATATTTTTTTATATATATATATATATATATTAGGGGGGGGGGGGGGGGGGGTCCTATTGGAGCAATAAACACTTAATGTCCTGCAGTTCTGAGACATTTTCTGCTCCGATTTATGGTGGAAATGACTATATGAAGGGAAACAAAATTCAGCTGGCAGGAGACAATTCATAAATATAACAGATGTAATGCAGCTTTTTGTTTTTGGACTATGCACATTTGTTTCTTTTATATTTAAATGGAATTGCATGTTTTCTTTTTGTGCAAATAAATCTTTCTTAAAGCATTTTTATTTGTTAGTTAACATTTTTGGTGCAAGGCATTTTTTCACAAATGCTTTCAGAAAGCGGACATGTACCCAGCGTGCTCGGTGTAAGTGACATCTATGGTGAAATGTAAAAAACGCTGTTGGAGTGTTTAAAGTGTCAGTTCACCCAAACCACGAACAGTTTCAGTTTTACTCTGTTTGGCTGGTTAAATGTCTGCAGTGACCTGATTCGATGGCAGAGAACTTGTCTTCTGTCATGGTCACAGCTTTCAAACATGCACAAAGCTCAGACACAACATTTCCATGTTCCTGTAATACTGATCACTGTCCTCTGGAAGGAACTGCAGCTGAGATACAGAAACTTTACAGCTTAGATGTTTCTCTCTTCACACTGTCACATTCCAAAGTCACAACCTCCCTTTAGACCTCGATACTCTTTTTTTACTCTAATTTTAAAAATTAGAGTCAAGAGTAAAGTGGTCAGACTTGATCTCAAGCTTTATAACCAAGAAATTAATACATGTGTTTGATTCTCACACATACTGAACATAAAATATAAAGAGACTAGATGTATGAAGAACTTTGCACTCTTAACAATTTTGTGCCTTAATAAACAACTGGATCATTAACACATGGCCACGCAGCCTTTAGCTATATGAAACAGCAAAAGTCAAAAACAACTTTAAATCAATGAATGATAAGAATCCATCCATCCATCGTCAACCTCTTATCCTGCGTACAGGGTCGCAGGGGGCTGGAGCCAATCCCAGCTGACGTCAGGCGAAAGGCGGGGTCACCAGGACCTGGACAGGTCACCAGTCCATCGCAGGGCCACACAGACAAACAACATTTTCCCCATACTCATGCCTTATATTCAAGAATAATGAAATCACATTTCTGACACCCCAAAATGGACCATACCATTTTCTGACGTTGACGTTAGTTGAACGTCTTGTCCGTCTGCATCCCTCGCAGCGGCAGCTGCTCCAGTCTAGTGCATCACATGCTGTCAGTTAGCCATCTAGCTTCTTTAAAACATTAAACTTTCCTTCCTTCAGAGTTTTGAAATTAGCATTTATTTGACTTACAATGAGCCCTCTGATGTGAGCTATTATCTCATATTGTGTAATTGTCAGCTTACACTTGTGCTTAGGCATGAGCAGAGAAACTGAGGATTAGTTAGTTATCGAAGAGATATTTTGACTTCAGTATAGAGTTTATTATTTAATTTTCAGTCTCTTGTGGGTATTTTAAACAACAGACTAAGCAGTCACTTGTTTTCACTCTGGAATTCAGGAAAGGTTAAAATCCAGGTTTGTTATTTCAAATGTATTCAGTTTCATAACAAAAAAGTTCTCATTACATTCTGTTTAATATTTACAGAGACCCAAAAATTTCCAATTCCCCAACAATTTATGACAACTGCTTTCTTTAACCCAGATTAGGCCTACGTTGCATTCACAGTCAACATGAGCAAGACGAAAGATCCTTGCTAAAAAAAAAAAAAAAAAAAAAAAGTGTTATTTGAAAACTTGAAATGATAAGAATTAGAGATGATAATGCAGCCTGTATTTTATGGAAGTGTCTCTGGTTCTGGTTCAGCATTGTGTGGGTCTGACTTGCTGCCAGTTTTGCTCCAGAATACTTGGTGACCCCTGACTACAGTAGTTGTTGTGTGGGGCATCCATCAACTGGTGGAATGAATTTGATTCAGCAGACTGCACACATTAGTTAAATAAGCAGGGATAATGTAAGCATTGTAAGACTTTAGTTTACTTAAGCACGCGCCTGCGCTGTACTGGGTTTCTTTTTGACCTGGAAACACAGTTAACCCCCCCGGTTGTCACTGTATAATTCGCACCCTGTGCAGGTGGATGAAGACTTTACCTTTCAGATCAACTGCATGCTCCCAGACCTCCGTCTTTCTTTGGTCTTGGACCTTTATAGTCACTTCTTCTGTGTTTGTGGGCAGGCGGATCTCAAACGTTGGGTGGTAATTTGGTCCATATTGCAGTTTAAAAGGTGCATTCTGAAAACCAAAATGTCAGAACAGCATCCACAGTAAACCAAAGGTTTGATGAATTGTGTCAGCAGCATTTATTTAAAATACTCACCTTAGGCTGGATTTTGATGGCCTGAGGACAGTCGACAGTGTAACTTTCATCTGCGATGAGAATGCATGTGGAAGGAACCTCGATGTTCTCAGCATGTCGCTGTTGCTGTCGTTTGTTCACCTTCCAAGACATCAGAACATTTTAACATTTCAAGAGTTTATTCTAAGAAGGCCAATTTTCTCTCACTACAGACATACGAGTATCAGCAGATTTGTAGGTCCAAAAGTAACAAAGATATCAGCACAGTGGGGTTTCAACTAACTATTGTTATTACAGATCAATCTGCTGAATATTTTCTCCATTAGTTAAAACGCTTGATCTCCAACATGTCAGCAAATACAGAACAATGCCCATCACACTTTCCTCAAGCCAAAGGTAGCCGGCCAACAGTCCAAAATTTAATGAAATACAAAGAAAAGCAGTAAATCTTCAGATTCAGACTCTTCACAATAGTTGCAGATGAATTTTATGTCAAAAGATTAAACGTTCCACTTTTTCGGATATACAACACATAAAACTGGGTCTCTATTGTTGGACAATGGACAGAAAATAAGTGTTTTCAACCACTCGACACTTGTTTAGTATAAATTCCCTCTTTGTGTTTCCCTGTTGAGCTGCAGTGGAGCGACAGTCACAGAAGGAGGACTGTGGATTTTGTCCCCATCACTTCTTAAAGTATCTTTCTCTCCAGTATGAAGAGGAGGAATCATTACAGGAAGATCCAGGGGTGTTCCCAGGCTCTTGAAACATTGGGGGCCCAGCCCCCCCCCCTTTGCTGCCTACCCAAAATAGGTCTATAACGCAACAGTAAATGACCTCTACACAGTAACCAGGGCTGACATTGACTTTTTGCTCACTAGCCAATGTGGCTAATGATTTCCAAAGTCACACGCAGCATTTTCAATAGCCACATTTTGTTGGTGGGTTATTGAATATAATAAAAGTTCTGCATGGGTGTAAAAGATTAATTTAAAAGATACAACTGATTTTTTTTAAACCAGAAACACCGTTTAAATCCTATTTATTTTAACAGCAGCAGGCTAAACACTTAAATACAGAGTAGAAAAATGATCAAAAAGAACAAAGAGCAAAAGATGAAAGCCAAATCCAGCCAATCCCAGCTGACATCGGGTGAAAGGTGGGGTACACTCCAGCTGGGTATTTATTATGATTTTATAGTTACTACGGTTAATAACACTGATATATTAACCGGGGGGGTCTGGGGTCCTCCCCCTGAATTCGGTCTTTAAACACTTATTTTCCTGCATTCTGGAGACATTTTCTGCACCAATTCTTTATTTATGAAGGGAAGGACAAAAATGAGGTGGCAAATATAATAAAATGTAATGCAGTAGCTTATTCTTTTTTTTTAAGCTTAAGTTACTTATATGTAGGAGAGATTTCTACATTTACACTACATTGCAGGCTTATTGTGCAAGTAAACCTCACTCATAGCATTTTTATTTGTCATTTAACATGTCTTGGTGCAAGATATTTTTCAGAACATTTTTAATAAATGCTTTCAAAAAGTGGTGCTTACGTGTCCCCACTGTAAACGAGCCTCCTTCCCTGCAGACTGAGCTACTCCATGCTTACCGCTTCACCTCCACTCTCTGCTCACTCGGCCCCGTCACTCTGGCTCTCTGCTTTGCTAATACACCTCCTCTGCCTGTCAGGGGCCACGGCGAGTAGTATGTAGCTGCAGTACCGGAGGCTGCAGTATCAGGAACTGCATTTCTAGGACACTTGGCATTTTCCCGGTAGCCCAGAATGCTAGTCCACCCTGAGGCTACCCCCTTTAGACCCTTGACAGAGAGCCCGTCTGGGACTGTAGCCTACTTGATGAGCGAGGGGGACAGAGACAGCAGGACACAGAGCATCAGGTGTCTGTGCCACGATATTCTCTCACTACTACATTTGTATTTGACAACATTTATATTTAAATGTATTGATTACAACTTCCCCGTGACCCTGTACGCAGGACAGGCGGTTGACAACGGATTACAACTTTGCAAGAGATGATTCAGAAGTCGCGGGCAAGTCCTGAAGCTGTGAGCAATGCGCTCTCTCTGTCTCTCTTCTCGTGCTCGCTCTAAATGCAGGCAGGCTGAGTCACGTTACATGAACTTGAACAAAAAGAACAAAAAGTAGCCTCCGCTCTTTGAAGACCTACGAGTGTGTCATGGGATTATTGTATGTTAATATAAGTTACATTCGGGTCTAGAGTCAAAACATCCGGGGCTAAAGCCACGGAAAAATGGCGACGCCGATGGGAAGAACAGCTGGTTAGTGTTCAGTGGACACCTGACTTGTTGAAAAACTGTGAACGGACAGCTGTAGGATGAAGCTTTACCTCGTCCAGATGGATGTTGCTCGGCAGGAGAAACAATTTGAGTTTTTGCCTCTGTGTTTCTGGGTTTGGGGGTCCGAGGAACAGCAGAACTTGGCTGCAAACTGGTGTCGTCCACAACCTCTTAACAATATCCCAGACTAGGCCAAAGGCAGAGAGGTGACGGACTTTGACAACCACATGAGTGTCTGTAATCTCCTGCGGGTCGAGGATGCTCATTCCATCATCAGTGATGTGGACGACAGACAGCAGACCATCAGGCAGCAGAGCTGTGAAAACAGAGCGTTAAACTTTGGTTTTACTCATAACAACCTCAGCACAATGTCCTATTTTATTTCCAGAAAGTCATTGAAGACTATAACTGTTGCCCAGGTTGAGATTTTTATTGAACGGTCAGCGTTGGTGGATGGGAAGCCAGTGAGGGATTGTCCCAATCTTCTGTGAGGACCAGAGGGGATGAATTGGAGGAACTAGCTAAAAGAACTGAAGATTAAAAAATATATATAAATTTTCTTTAATTCACGATCCCTTGATAAAATATATCCAGATGACCTCCTGATTTTTTTTGTTGCTCCCACTTAACAAAATTTTTGTTTCAACAAATGTAAAAAAAATATTTGTGGCCCGATTAGCATGAAGTGCTCTAAGGAAAATACTGAAGTCTGAATCATTGCTGTGCTCAGTGCTTCACTCCATCTTCTCATTGTCCCCATCGTCAAAGATTCCAGTGACATGGGAAAACATCTTGCTTTATACTTATAATTCCCCAAAAATGTGTCCTGTTGTGCCCTTACTAACACTATTCAACCACACACACAGACACTTTAGCCCATAAATTAATTCATTTTCATTTACACAACACCACCAGTGCTTGGAATTTAGATTACCTCTTTGTCCCCTGTTTCAGTATCTCACATTATTTTAAATAAAACAGGGCATGGTTTTATTCACTCTCTAAACCACTGACTACAGGTATAGCCCCCATTTCTGCCCACCTGTCCGGTCTGGTGACAAATAAATATATAATAAAGAATACAAAAAGGAGTAAATTAAAACTCTTCGTTAAAGCTAAATCTGTCTGGCCCTAACCCTTGCATGGTATTCAGCTCTTCATACTGTATACCAGGATGCTGGGCGGGACAGGATTAAGAAAACAAAGCAAAGGAAACAGTTATTTCATGTCTGGCTCCTCCACAAAAGGACTCGCAGCATATCCACAACCCTTCTGTGGTCATTCATGGTCCCAGAGGCCTTTCCTCTAGTGCCACCATCAGGCAAAACACAGGAATACAAAGTATTAAGATATTGATTGAATCCCAATCACCACAGTCCGAAATCTTTGAGGCACGTTCCTGGTGAGTCCGCGAGGGCGTCGGGCGGTCACGCTGTCAAGTCATCAGATGCATGAGGGCCCCCCCCTCGCAAACATTGCAAGCTTTTTATGCACACTTTGAGAAAGTCATCATGTCTGCAGACTTTGCCCGAGGTAATTACCCACAATTCATAATGATGTTAATCTGGGAAGCTGGCGTAAAAATTAAATAATAAAACTCCAAGAAAAGAGAAGTTTTCATGTAAGATGCAGTTTAAAAACGACTTAATAGATCTGAATGTGACCTCTTCAGGTTCAGATCAGGTAGTCGGTCCCTTCACCGTCTCGGCCGTGAAGAAAGTTAAATAATGGAAAATATAAGTCTCAGACACACAATTGTTTTGGCGTAGTCATGGTAACGTGATATGTCACAAAGTTATTCTAGCGCCCCGCTCAGGACAAACTTCCCATGATTAGCTGCACAGCTGTTCAGACTGTTAGAACAGGTAAACCATCAGGATGTTGTTTCATCGCCGCTCTGACAAAACTCTCCACTCACAAAGCACATTAAGTCCTCACCATCCTTTGTTTCACAGTGCGGCAGGTGGAGCTGACAGACAGCGTTCTCAGGACACTCGATACTGAACAGCAGCCCTGCAGCCGTCTTGCCGGCTGATTGGAGGAGGCTCTCATCCCATTGGACAGTCCGGTACAGCAGCTCCGCCTCCTGAGCCACAACAAACACCAGTCCAGTCAAAGCACACTGGAACACACCTGGACCAGGACACCTGAACCTGCAGGACATACAACAAGCTCTCAGCCTGCAGGGACCATAGACACAGAACTAACATGACCAGTTTACACATTTCAGACAATCTAGAAAAGACCCAAACGAGGACATCTGGACTCTTTTAGAAGCTAATGATGCACATATATACATGTTTCTAACAAGTAAATGGTTGTGGTTACTCCTCATACGCACTCCAGTTCATTATGGCATCATATTTTGGCAGGTTTTATTATTGATAATATTAGTTACAGCAGGGACCAGATTGGGGCTAAAACACATGCAGCTTTTGTCCTGGTAAAGGAATTAAAAAGAATTTGCTGAAATAAAAGTGCTGCATTCTTTAAAAAGTTAGAGACCAAACTTAATTGCTGGACAAGATGTGAATGAAGCAGCAGCTGCAGGAGGAAGAAGTGTATGAGTGTTGAAAATGAAGAGTAAGCACTGAAAGGAGTTGACATGACAGTTGATCTTAAATGCTGTATGTTTGAAAATAACTAATTTATCAGTAAATTTAACAAAAAGTGTTTCTAGTAGTTGTGAACGTTCACACTGGCAGGTGGAGGGAAAAGCTGTCCAGCACAGAGAGGGATGATCAGATATCAAATATTAAGATAACAGAGCACGAATAAAGAGAGAAGAGTTCAAAACTTTCTATTTTCTCGCCCCGTCCAAACTGGGTTTGCTGACCAATCACTGAGTGAGGTGGGTCATGTGGGATTGTCTTTCAGAAAGTTAAAGAGATTGTCCTACAGAGCCTCCAGGGGTTTCTGAAGCTGTTCCACCATCAGAAGATAAGTTCTGCTGAAGTATGCTGGCGCCTTCTGAGCTAAACTCTACTGAAAAGGTCCAACTTTCAGTTAAAGTGCTGAGAGGAGGTGAAGCGTAGGTTAAAGTCACTGAATGGAGCATTCTGCATGTTGTGACTTGGTTACCTGTATGAAGTCTTTCCAGACTCAGTCAGCAGTTCAGGTGTGAAACTTAACTTCTCCTGAAATAAAAAAAAGGCACAACATTAGTTACAGAACACGTTGAGATGGGAGCAGAAACTGGCCGCCTGACTCTCTCTCTTGTCTGTCTGTTCAACTGAAGTGTGCTTCACTGAATTATTAACTGACCAGTAGAGGGCAGCACCCAGCATGAACCCCTGTAATTTAACTTTTTAAGCTCAGATTTTTAACTTATTCAACTATTAACTTCGTTTTAAACACAGCACAGACCGTCTGACTCGCCCAGAGTTCGCTATAGAACCGAACAGAACTAAAAGCGCTTTCCATTTAAAACATTGCGACAAGTGTGGGGAAATCAGAGTGCAGGTACAGCCTTTGGTTTCTGATGAAAGATGCTAAGGTTCAGTTTGTACAGATGACACCTGGTTTTCAAAGGTTAGGAGGTAGAAATTAATTAGTTTCTCTAGTGTAAACGAAGAATTTAGAAGGTAAGAAATATTTAACCCTGGAGGTGGTTAAACTAAGGAACCAAATAAAAATGTTAAGGTTAAAAACTGACCTTTGTATTCAGAGCCTCTCCACACAGAAGCTGCTGCTGCTTCAGTCTCTCTGCATCATCAGGACACGGCTGGTCCTCTCCGTCGTCCTCAGACACAGAGAGCTTTGGGTTTGATGTGGACGGATCTGTTGGGAGATCAGAGCCATCGGACGGAGAGAAGGAGACGCGGATGTCACTTTGGGACGTGATGTTTAAAAGTCCAAAAGATACCAAGTTAACCCCGAGTCCATACAATCAAATGTTCACGAAAACAACAAGGACAGAGATCCAAGACATCCTGCAGTGAGGCAGCAACAAGACATCATCTTTCCCAACATGCAGAGCAGAACAAAGCCAGAGACCTGCTGTGGGATTAACCAGAGCCATGAAACACACAGCAGCCAATCTTCAGTTTACATTTCTTTAAGATAATCCAGTTACTCACGTCCTCCATGTCTGTCAGGTGAAGCCATGATGTCTCTGCCACCCAGCCTGTAGGAGTAAACACAAATACAGCAGTTATCTCTTAAGACAGTCGGTGTCAAGTTCCCCTTTTAAATATGTGTAGTTTCCCCACTTGAAAGAGATTCCGCTCAATGACTGAACAGCTGTTTCCTGTTCCCATCGGTCCAAGTCATCGTCTGTTATTTGCCATTAGGTGGAAAAACTTTTAAATAAACCCAAAAAAAAGCGCATACACACTTCTAGATCAACTAGTACACATACATCAACACATTCAGCTCGTTAAGCAGCAGCATATATACAGACAACAACACAGAATCTCAGTAATCAACCGCGCTTCAACTTAAACATCAGAATCACAAAAACATTTCACAGCTTCAGACCAAACCAACCTCCTGCTGTGGCAGCAGCAGTAATCTCGTCACGTCAGACCTCAGGACATCTCACACCTGCACAGTCTTTCCGCCGTCGCAGCATTTTCTCCAACAGTCTCGCTCTTCCGCGGTTTCTGTTTGTTTGTATGACACACGTGCTGTCCCGGAAACTGACGCTGCCGTGCGTCTTTTTAAACGCTCCGTGTGGTCATGCGCATTGGTTGGTTCCGTTTGATCTCCTCTCTGCAGTCAGTCCGTCAGAGGCCGCTTGTTACTTTGCTTTAATTAGGGTTCATACCGCGTAGAAATATGAACCCAATCGGCCACATGGTGGCGCTATAATTAAGGCGTAAAAATGCAAACTTTGAAAGGCCACGCCCCTTACACCGTAAGTCCGATTGACTTGAAATTTCTCACACAGGTGCAGCTCAATGTGCTCTACAAAAAAGCCTCTGGGACCAATAAGGTCCGCCTATAAAATTTGTCCGCCATTTTGAATTTTATGAAAATCTCATTTTTGACATCTCCTCCAGAACCGTAGTTCCGATTGCCACCAAATCTTCAGTGAATCATCATTGGATCAAGCCTATTAAAAGTTGTATAAAGCATGTCGATATCTCAATTACTTTTCAAGATATGGACCAATGAACTTCGAGAGGGGCGTGGCTCTGGACATAAATGACCACAAATCAGCAACCCTAGGGCCGATCATCACAAAACTCACAGGATATGTTTAGATAGGTGCCCCGGATAAACCTGGACAGTTTGATGTACATACGTCACTAGGGGGCGCTACAATCGCAAGAAAGGTGCTTAGCATTACACAAATTACACTATAAATCCTATATTCATTCTCCAATCATCACATCATCATCTCAGGATGTGTCCTCATAAGTAAATGAAACATGTCCTGATAGTTTCATTCAAATCAAACACCCGGGGGCGCTATAAATGCAAACAAACTGCAGGAGATAAAACGCAAAACACGCTACAAAATGCATATTGTTTATCCAATCAACACAAATCTCTCAGGATGTGTCCTCATAAGTAAATGAACTTGCAGGAAACTTGCAGGATGTGTTTTATAACAATGTTGAACCACGTGTGAAATTATTTTGATGCCGATATTGTGAAAAAAGGTATGAACCCGCAAATCGCCACTTGCGGCTATATTTTTTATTTATTTTGTCTTCCCCTAAGACCCACTACATTTCAATTTCAAAACATCACATTACAACCACAATCACACATTTCAATTCTAGTTTGACTTGACAGTCTGGATTTTCCAATCCAGCTACATTCACATGAAACAGGGAGTAGTCTGCTGCTGCTTCAATAATGGCTGATCACATCAGCTCCTTTCATCCTTTTTAATAGAATGTGTCAAACATCCTAACAGCATGAGAGGACTCCAAACTCTGGAGAAACCTGTTCTGCACAGGAAGCAGAGTGAATAACGCACCTAATAACGCGCGTATCAAAATGTCGATGTTGCGAAACGCTAGTGTTTTATTTTTGAAAGTGTAACCGGACGTTGCATCTTTATTGTTGCTCATTTTACCGTAAGTTGTATGTTTGTTGTTGCTAAGCGTTGCTAACTTCACCGCAGATCCCTAAACGTCAATAATTGACGCAAAAGGTGTTCCCAGGGCGTTAAAAGGCGACGCCAAAGGACCTTGACCAAGCGTCAGTATGTGATGAGTCGGAAGTGAGAACATGTTGGTTTTGCAAATTAAATATATTTGCAAATAAGATAAGATTGAGGGAAGAGTTTCTATCACATTGGAGAGAAGTGAAACAGCTCAGAACACACGAGTAGCAAAGAACAAGTTTATCAAGAGTCACAAGAGAACAGGAAGTAAATAGAGAAATACCTACATACACACACTGTTTGACACACACGGATGCAGTATCTGTGTTTACTTGCTCTCCCTTTGTTTTTTCGTGCCTCTTAAAGGTTAAGTTTTAGTTGCATCTAGTGGTGAGGTTTGCGAATTGCAACCAGTGGCTCACGGTGCATTCATGTGCTCCTCGGAAATACTGTTATGTTTATGTGTATATGGGATATTGTGCTTGTGTGTTTTCCCTCTCTGCCACCAGCAGGACTTTACCCCGCCCCCAATGCTGCAGCCAGCAACCTGAGGAGCGCGGCCGAAGGATTGAAGTGACTCAGAGTAAAAGTACTCATTCTGCAGGACGTCCCTGTCAGTGTTATTATGTTACTGGATCATTATTATTGATCATTATAATGTAGGAGGTACTTTAATGCTGTTGGTGGAGGTGGAGCTCATTTGAACTGCTTCTTAATACTGTTGGCTTGTTTTATCTAAACTAATGCTTCATATTTTATTCACTGATCACAGTGTTTAAAATAGGAATCTGAAAAGTATAGTGTCAAATAAATGTAGTATGTACCTCAAACTACCAGCTGAAGACAAAGCTGCTCTCCATCTGTTGTTAAATCACATATCAGACATCCTTCCTTGTTCTCTGCTGTGTGTGGCTTGTTGTTGCTGCATCAACATCTACAGCTTACTGGAGGACAAACAACTGCTGCAACACCTGAATCTTCCTCAGTCAGACAGAAAACTCTATCAGTAAGTGTAACTATCAGTCTGTGTAGAAGTTAGACTGTGGAGATTTACATCACATGACCAGTACAAGTTAGATGAGTTGTTAATATCAGGATGAGTGAAGTTTCTCCAGTCTGACCCAGAATATTAGCAGATTATACAATTATATAAATAAACTAAAGTCTACAGAAACATAATCTCACACTAAAAGAAGATCATTGAGATAAACCTCAGGGAGGAACTGAAAGCAGTCACACCAGCATACATACATATAAATACATGATTAGTACTAATAAAGAAGGAAGAAAAGCTCCACAAGCTCAGTTTGAACGTCTTTCTTTAAACAGCAGCGCCACCTACTGTCCAAAACATCACATTACAACCACAATCACGTTCATTCACTGACACACAAAGTATTATCAGGGTGGAAGTGCTAATGTTTGTCTTTTTAATAGTACCCATAGTAACAGCAGATTAAAAGTACTAGTACTAGTAGTGAGTGTTAATATTTTCTGTTTACTTATTGTGGCTCCTTTTCTTAGTTTTAACCTGGTTGATGGTGGAAGAAGTACTTTGATCTTTTACTTAAATGTAGTAACATCACAGCGTAAACATACTCAGGTACAAGTAAAAATTCTGCATTTAAAATTTTTATTGAAGTAAAAGTACAGAAGTATTGAAAGGTGCAGATCTAAGCTGTATTTTAAGGCTGCAGCTGATTCAGGTGGTGGAGATCAGTTAAATACTTTACATATTCTTGGGTTGTGTAATCTCTAAAAATCCATCATATTTTATTTCATGTTTCATGTTTTAAAATCTGAACCTGCAGAACAACTAGCAGGCTAAGAGCTTTCAGGTACATGTAGTGCAGTAAAAAGTACATTACTTCCAACGTAGTGGAGTAAATGTACAACGTAGCATAACATGAAAATACTCAAGTAAATTTATCTGACAGCTGCAGTTAGATTGTACACAAAAGCTGATGAGCTTATAAAATACAACGGATTGTTAAAAATTCATCCAGTACTTTTTAGAAACAGGTTCTGCCTCACATCAGCTGGAGCTCAGCTGAAAGGCACTGATCCACGTCACAGAGAGCAGCGATCAGAGCTGAACTGGCTGCAGATCCTTTTTTTCGCACCGCGTCGATCACCTTTCGTGCATTTTCTGCCCTGTTTGATGTTCGGAAACACTCCATCTCATCATCGGTGATCACACCGCGCTGCAGGAGCTGATCCAGCAGCTTGCGTAGAACAGGGTCAGACACTCTGTCGATAAACTCTGTCCTAATAGACATCAGCTTTTTGACACCCGAATTCTCTTCTGGGACACTCGAGGTTCCTGCTGGACCAGGACCTGGAAGATGAATAAGACAAGAACACATGTTCAATAACCAGCTGTAACTTTAGACAGAGAGCTCATAGCGGATTACTCCAAGACTCACAGTAATGTAGGATGTGCCCTTAAAAAATTACAGTTCATCATAAAATTCATCTGAAGGTGTTTTGATAAATCAATAATTGATTACAGATATTTTTAATCAAATAGGGCAAACATGACCTGATTACAGTTTCTGGAGTGTAAAAACTCAGATTTTCTCCCTTTTACATGAAAGTAAAATTAATATTTGGGTTTTGATTGTTGGTCAAACAAAAAAAACATCGACGACGTCGCCTTGGGAACTGGGATGGGCGTTTTTCTTTTTACTCTTTTGACATTTATAGACTAAACAGTTCATCAATTCATTGAGGAAATATTCAGCAGATTAAGTAATAATGAAAATAATCTTTTGAGGCTGCTCTGTGGATGCAGTTTAAACTTCAGTGTGTAAAACACCTGCACATCTTCAAGTGCTGAGTCTTTGTGTGTGAGACAGTTGAGCAAGAATAACAAAAGCAGCTTTTCTAACTGACCCCTCTCTTCATTAAAGGTTGCAATGTGCTAGTAGTTAATTTGTGAGCAACAATCATTTGGAAATGCGACTTTACTGAAGCAGGACTCAGTAATGTCTGAATCCAAAATCCTGAAGCGTAAAGAGTGATCAGTAAACAGAGTTCACAGATCTGCAGTGTGGAGGCAGGACAGGCTGAAACAAACTGATAAGACGTGACAGAAAGACGTCGTGTGTTTCTCTTCCTGTGACTGACCTGCTCCTGAGTCCGTCTTCGGTAATGTCTTCACCAGATCATTCCTGCTGATCTTTTTTAAAATGCTCCTCATCACCTCCACAGCTCCATCAAACTCATATTTCTGCACCATCAGATCCACTGCGTCCCGCCTCTCTGCCTTCGACAGCTGGTGCACTTTGATGGGCTGGATGTTGTCCACCTTTTCATTCTTCAGGTACCACTTGAAGTTTTCAAATTCGTCATCTTTTAAATTGTCCAGGATGTTGATGAGGTCCATCTCCGTCATCTTGGCTTCCTGGTAAATCAGAGAATATTGTTATAGCTGTGTGACAGTTGTGTTGGTGTGTCTCTGCTCTGCCTGTTTGCGGCTGTTTCTACTGCCAACACCACTGCATTTCTTTACTCCATGTAATTCTAGTTGACACGACCAAAGTGCACTCAGTAAGCTTCCTATCGCATCACAAGCT